TGCCAGCCCCGCTGTCTCCCCCCCATCCCCACAGACGGTGCCATCTCCCGGAGCGAGGCGCAGCCCCGGGGGGAGCGCGGGGAGGGTCCCTGCGTCCCCGAGCAGAGGGAGCTGGAGCAGAGGGAGCTGCCGCCGGACGCCTGCGCGGGTGAGACACCGGCCGGGTCCCCTCCTGTCCCCACTGACTCCCACGTCCTGGTCCCCCCACCCCAGGGATGTCCCACCTCCTTCCCCAGTGGTCCAGGCCCCCCAGGACCCAGTTTTCAAGCCCTGGCCAGACTCTGCACCCCAGACCACCATGAGTGACTCTGGAAAATCCCCCAGGACTGATGTGCCGGGGTCTTGGGCATCTGTCACCGGGAGATCCATGTGTCCCCCGTTGCCACCATGCTGGGTCAGAGCACATGGGCTCTCCCATGGTTACCTGTCCCCGTCGGCTGTGCCATTGTCACCCATGGCCATGGGCTGTGCCATGGTCATCTCTTCCCATGGGCTATTCCATGGTCACCCATCTGTCCCCATGGGCTGTGCCATGGTCACTCGTCCTCAAAAGCTGTCCCAAGGTGACCCATCCCCACGGACTGTCCCATGGTCATCCATCCCCACGAGCTGTCCCAAGGTGACCCATCCCCATGGTCACCTATCCCATGGTCACCCATCTCCTGGGCTGTACCAAGTTGACCTGTCCCCATGGTCACCCGTCCCTATGGACTCTCCCAAGGTGACCCATCTCCATGGGGTGTCCCATGGTCATCCATCCTCTGAGTTGTCCCAAGGTGACCTGTCCCCACATCTCCCCAGGGGGTGTTTGATGTGGGATGGGGATGTCCCTCATGGTCATAGCCCGGGGGTCCTGCGCCCCAAGGCGCGTTGGCCATGGGGTGGTGGTGAGTGGCCGCAGCCCGGCCACCGGCCAAGTCTCTCCTTGTGAACAGAGTCGCTGATCTCCACCTCCGACATCCTGTCCCGGATCAAGCAGGAGGTGGCCTTCGTGGGGGAGCAGCAGTTCCCGGAGGAGCGGGGGATGCCGGCAGACCCCTGCGCAGGTCAGCCCGGCGCCGTGCCCAACGCGGGGAGAGCCGTTACTCCCCCCTCAGCCCACCCGGGGCCAGGACATGGCCCCCCATGGGCTGAGTCCCTGTCCCCGTCCTTCCCCCGCAGGCGCGGACGCCCTGATCACGGCGCACGACTTCTTGTCGTGGATCAAGCAGGAGGAAGAGCCCTGTGTCCGTGAGCCCTGGGAGCTGCCGGAGAGGGAGATGCTGCCGGGTCCCGGTCCTGGTCCTGGTGAGGGAGGGTTGGGATGGGGATGAGGGGGGAGAAAACACCCACCCAGGCTGGGCTGTGGCTCGGGGACATCCCCGGTCCCCTGGGACCTGTTGACCAGAGCCTTTCTCTCCCCTGCAGCCGGCGAGGGGCTGCTGGTGAAGACGGAGGAGCGGTGCCCCCACGCCGAGCCCCCCGAGGAGGTGGGTTTGCCGGGTGGCTCCGGGGACCTGCTCTTCCCCGGCACCGGTTTTGGGAACCCCGAGGGACAAGCGGCGGCGGTGACACCGGCGGGGGCTCTGCCGGCACAGCACAGACTGGGCAAAGCCCCAGGCTCAGAACCGGGGGGCGAGGGGCCGGGGGTCCCCACCACCACCCCGGTCCCCGCCGAGGAGCGTCCTCACGGCTGCGCTGAGTGCGGGAAGAGCTTCAGCGGGAAGAAGAGCCTGCGGATCCACCAGCGGAGCCACGCGGCCGAGAGGCCCTACCCCTGCGCCGAGTGCGGGAAGAGCTTCAACTGCCACTCGGGGCTGGTGCGGCACCAGATGATCCACCGGGGCGAGCGGCCCTACAAGTGCGGCGAGTGCGGCAAGTGCTACAGCCGCAAGGAGCACCTGCAGAACCACCAGCGGCTCCACACGGGCGAGCGGCCCTTCGCCTGCGCCGCCTGCGGCAAGAGCTTCATCCGCAAGCAGAACCTGCTCAAGCACCAGCGCATCCACACCGGCGAGAGGCCCTACCAGTGCCCGGCCTGCGGCCGCAGCTTCCGCTACAAGGAATCCCTCAAGGACCATCAGAGGGTCCATGGGGCCGAGGCGGGGGCCCCCCCCTTGCCCCCACCCGGCATTAT